CACGTAGACAGTCACGAACAGTCCAATAAAAAAATGCTAAAACTATGTATTAGAGTATTAGAAATTATGCGTTAAAAATTCCTTATGACTGAAGAAAACAGGTCGAACAATTCTATAGACCTTACTCCGCTGTAATAATCATTCTTTCTAAAAGTTCAATGCTTCAAATATTGGACACAGCTTTTTATTACATGTCATAAATTTTTGGCAGAGATCTTACGGCTCATACAACCTTAAGTCTTATTGTGAATCGCGAGATACCAGAATTAGGATGTAGATAAATGCACGAAAAAGATTGAAAACGTTTATTTCAGACGCAACCGTCGAGAAATTTGGCGCGCGAATACAGATCGCTCAGAAAATGCCACGAGGTAACCGTAGGCGTCGAGTCGGCCGGTACTGGCAAATATTGTATTCTGGTCCGAGAATTAAAAAAGAAAAGCGATCTCTCCTTAGCCGAAATCGCGGCGATTTTGGACCGATGCGGTCCGAGTCGAAAGAGAAGGTCGGAGTACGAGTACGCGTTCGAAGTTTGCGAAGAGAAACAGAGCCCACCGAAGAGCGGTGTTTTACCGTTCACTCTGAGAAGACTGCAGCCGGGGAAAACTTATCTACTTCGAATCACCGCCGAATTCAAAGAGAAATCTTTGTCTTATCCGTTGCTAACGGTTCGCACTCGACGTTCTTGCCTACCTTGACCCATCGACGATTCGATCGTTTCGCCGAAGAAGGCATATCGTAAGTATACGAGCGAAGGGAATCTTTAGACCCGCACGAGAAAGTAAGTTGTACATAGGTACTTTAATAAATGACTAACGCAAACGTTCAATATAAAATAATATTCGATGGCCATTGATTGTGAATATTCTCGATCGGACGCTAGTCTCTCGCGCTCAACTCGAAGGCAAACTTTCTTTTCGTAAACGTTCGCCGTTACAGTTCGGATTCTATCAGAATTCTAAGTTTTTCACCAGCAGATTCCTTAGGCTCTTGACTCAACAGTGTTACAGCTTCTGACAGAAGACGTCTTCTGTCTTCTCCGGGGCAAGTAGACAATTCTCTTAGCGCAACCGCCGTGTACAGAGCCAATCTTACTCCATAGGGATCCAAAGTTTTCGTAGTTTTTACGATGTGTTTGCACAATTCCGATTTCCTAGGATCGTCTCCGGGTAATAATTGAATCAATGAATGGCTGACAGTAATGCACTGTTGATGCCCGGGATGTAACAACGCGGTCAGTCTAGAAACAAATATTGCAATACATACAATATAATAAAATGAGAAGTATGTACTTTAAATTTAAGGGAGTCTAATTACCGAGAGAGCAAATCGATCAGAGTCTCCTTTTTTGCCGTTTCCATAACTTGATCGACGTCCTCCTCTATTTTTCCGAGAAACTGCGAGACCTCCGACGCGGATAAAATTCCTGGACAAGAATCGCAGCCCCACGTCGAATTAAAGTCGAGCGGATCTTTCGGTAAAATCGAGCCGTTATCCTGTGGACACTTCAAGGTACCAAGGTGCGTGTTCAATTCCGTGGGATCCGAGCAACGCTCGCAATGGCAGGAGAAGTATTTCGTTTCCATTAAATGCTCTCTTCTGGCTTTCGTGGCCCACAAAGCGTGCGTGTACATCGTACTTAGATGCGAGCCCCTATACGATAATTCAATAATTATAATAATAATTGGTAGCGCGTGCGGTATGAAAAAAGAAAAGCGCGTGTACCCACTTGGCGATAGAACAAACGGCTTTCACCGTGATTTTTGGTCTGCCTTTGTCGTCGATCGAAAAACTGTGTCTGGTATTCGCCAGACAAGAATGCTCTAATAGACAGGCGTTCTCGTAAATGGCCACGCAGCCCTCCGGTGGCACCGTTTCCAAAGCGTTCACGTCTATCAGGCCGCAAATCTTTGCCACGATATCCATATCGGAAGTAGAATCATTTTTACTACCCGATAAAAAACGTTTAACGCATTCGAATACATTGACGGTCTCGTCGAACGCGCTTGTCCCTGGACCTCGAGACTCCTGGTGACTCTGCAATTTCTCTATCGAACTCCAGACTTTCGATTTCCTTCGCCAGAGAATCAGCATCCTTATTACTAGTAAAACTTCGCATCTGCGGAATAATTATCGACGTTTAATAAACATTGTACGTATTCGAACGCTGAGTCGTGTATAGCTCGATCGAGGATCGAAGACAAACCTGGGTATGATTTTGGCCTTGACGATGAACGAACATTCCATTCCGTGTCTGTTCTTATCACGGAGACCGGTGCAGTTCACATCACAAGCCGGCCACAGGCATATCATGCATCTGGTGTCCGTTTTAGTACATTTCCTCCCGCAACCGACGCAGATCCTTTGATCGGTGCGTAACGCCGGCCCCCAGACCAAAGGAGTCTCGGAGAGAATTGAATCGCCGGGATTCAAGTCCCTCGACGCTATCAGGTACCGTCCCAACTCGGGACTTTCGCGAATTTCGAACGCCAGACACTTCAACTTATGCTTAGGCCAATCTAAGCGTTGGTGCTCTTTCTTGCAATAAAACTGCTGTTTGCAGCCGCTGCATTTAAACGCGGCCGGCTCGTTGCACACCGAGCACACGCCTTCGACTTCTCGTTCCATACTCTCGTTCAAATTAATCGCGAGAGGGAATGGAATCGGACTCTAAGTACTCGTCGTACTAGTCGCGAAACTACTAACTCTCTAGTTGTGAAGTTACTTAGAACTCTGAACGCAACGATGGTCGACCCGCTAACTCTTCGTTTAATTATAGAATTTTCTATTTTTAACGATACCATGCGGCATACAGAATAGAAGGGAAAAGAAAAGGACGTGCAGATTCTTAATTGATAAGAATACAAATTTAATTCGTTTATCACTGAATTCGCAAGTGTATCAGTACATCATTTATTAGAAAATTGCTCGTCGTCAGACTAAACGAGAGAATAAGGTGCAGGGTTGAAATAAGGTAAGGCAATGCGACATATTAAAATAAACTGTCGTACGTGTACGCGTATACACTTTTATTTGAGACAAACTTAGCACCCTCCGAATTTATCATCTAATAAATACATACAATCTTAAACAAGTTATTTACAAAAGGTTCTTTTGGTAGTCGGATACTTTGCAATTATACCGTAATTGTAGTATTATATAATTACATTTGTTTAATTACGCTTATGCGTGTCGAAGAACGTAAACGAATCTACTAATTTATGTATGTAGAAGAGAAAAATATAAAAAAATCGTTCGCAATTAGTAGAGCGATATCAAAAGATAACTCTTATCAACCTAAATAACTGGATATATTATGTATAAAAAATGGTCGAAAAAATGGAGACAATGATCTTATGTACAAATGTTAATTTGTCGTCAATCAAACGAATAGTCGTATCGTTTAATTGACAGAACTTTCTGCCAGAGGTAGTACGTACAGTACGGACTCGATAGAAAGTTTAAAATGTCCTTCGAGATCTTACATTCATTTTGCAATCCGTTATCAGACGATCATTTCAAACGAATCATTTTTCGGTTTAAAATTTTCCTATTTTTATTATTAGTTTACTCATCAATGAACAATAATTCGAGAGCGACGGTTGCAATTTTAAACTTTCTTTCGGCCATCGACCGTATCATCGATAAAAATAAATATAAAACTGAAAAAATTAAAAGAAGGTGGATAGAAAGGAAGGAAGGGAAGAACTGGATAAGAAAAATTGGCTAGTGTTCCTTTGTGCTGTTCTTCTTCACGTTTCCGTTGAAACTGTTTCTCCACGATTTACGAAAACAAATGGAAGATCGCACCAGGTTCCAAATGTCCTTCCCGGTGCCGATCAAGTTACAAACGATCGAGGATGGCGATTCATACTCGTTCGGCACGATTCCGTCCACGGAAGATTCGAAGAAACTGAACAACGGGAACCAGATCCGAGTTCTGTTCGAATCTCGTTGCATCAGCGCTTGATTGTTGGCCAGAGTATGATAATAAAGGAATAAACGGGATGTAATGTAGAAAGCCACGAATACGTCGATGGAGTAGTGTTCGTGCGCAGCAAGGATGAAGAATATGCCGAACATGTTGAGCATCCATGTAAACGTGTGCAGAAAATACAAATGCCTAGGAGTATCTGAAAAGATGTTCATTGATCGATTGATGATACGTAAAAGAATCATTGTATGTGAAAAGTCGAGATATTTACTCGATACTCCAAAATAGAAAATATCGAAGAAAACTACGGTACTCACATTCGGTAATGAAGAAATTTAACATGGTCAAAGCCACGGTGTGACCGCTGAACATATAGTCACCGCAAGTTCTGACACCTTGAATAGACATGCCAGCACCTCGCCATATAACGTAAGCCATTGCGATTTTATTGTACAGATCCATGTACGTAGAACTAGAAGATATAAATAAAGATTACTTGTACGGGTTCGTTAATATTGAACGAGCATGTAAACGAATTTGGTATTTTCATCATTTCCACCGGTTTAATTTTCTTTCGCGCAGTTCGATAATATATCTTATACACAAAATCAATAATAATACCTAGTCCAATCTTCGGAAACCGGTCTCGGCTGACACTGCAAGTGCGCTCCCGGCACCGATAAGGAAGTGATAAGCATCGTGACGCACCTTAAAAGGAAGACTGTACCGGATAGAGCGAAAAACCGTCGTAATAAAATAAATCTGCCAACAATGAAATGACAGTAAGAGTCACGGTTGCGATATGAACGTGACTATTAATAATAATACGGATATATATGAATATACCTGTATTTGTGAAATATCAAGACAGCGAGCCAAATAGCGAACAGTATCGTGCCCGTTACTTCGCACATATCGAAGGCCCATGGTATGTGAGGTACATTGTCCAAGAATATGTCCGGTAACGGCGGATACTTTTTCATGTCCGGTACCCGGTCATGGACTATCACCATAACGAACGCCGTGATCCAGGTTACAATGAACAAGTAGGCTAAACTTATGAAGGCTTTCCAAATCTCCGGCGGCAAGTGAGACGCGTGACCGTCTTCAGAAACGGAAGCTGAGTAATATTCATGTTCTATGGATCCCTCATTATTTATTGTACCGCTAACTGGAATCTGAAATCGAAACATCAAATAAACTTCAATCGCTCGGATGCAATATAAAAATATCGTTTTGATGTATGTACCGATAATAAATTTTTGAATCAGTGGATTAAACCGATCAAAGAAAATTCATACGAGTCGTCGTACAAATTGTATATTGTACTAATTGATCGCGGTCAAAAAATATTATGTTTTACAACGTAATAAGTGACAAGTGACTATGATAACAGAGAAAATAACGTTGAGAGGATAATTGTACGTACGGGTGTCTCGTTTGGACTTACTTCGTTATCAGCTAGACCGTATCATAAATTTTATCATATAATCGATACATTTGTACACATAAGAGTTCGTACGTTAAATTGACACGTATATTAAGAAATTACTACTGGAAGATGATAGGAGACATATACGTATAAGCGAATTGTTGAGGAAATACTTGATAAAGCATACGAAACGGTCCAATAATTTTGTTAAATCATAAATGCTCCAATTACTGATGACAAATTATCAAATGTACATCTTCTCATTACTTCGTGCTTGTGGTGACTATAAAAATTCGACGATGGAAATATATCTATGTATCCCAACTCAAATAATACTGCCATATTATCTCTTTGCAATTGCTTTAGACTAATGTATAGCCTCTTGATATCACCGATCTTTTGAAGGCTCGTGCACATCTGTTTGAGGTCTTCTTCCTTTAATGTCAGGAGTACTTTTCCATCTATCTCGTGATCCAGAAAGAGGTCTACAAATTTATCATGACCAGTTTCAGTCAGCCATTTAGAGACGTCGTCTTGGATCCACTCGATTACATTGTCTTGTGTCATTTTTTTTATCTTTTTACAAAGTGTTGTACTAATTCTGTTTAACAAGCACACGTTGATAAATTATGTGATAAGCAGAAATAATTATCATTATTAATAGTTAATCGAATAAACGTCTCCGTTTCTCTACTTGATTATAGTACTACGTTAAATAAAATATCGCTGTAATAAAAAGCGACATGAGTTATACAAACTTTTTTATCTACTTATTACAAGACTACAAAAACCATCAGAGTTCAACTTAACCTCCTATTTCTTAATACGTTTATTTTAAGAATAGAATATTCCTCTTTTCGACAGAAATTTGGGTTTGAATATTGTGCGCATTATACGGTTCTCTATCGATAATTATTAATCATAGCGTTCTACAGTTTCGAAATGGAGAAGTTGTAATCGAAAGTTCTAACCAAAAATGATGTACTTACCTTAAAAGTTAATGTATACATGGATTTATCAAATGTATCACAATTTTTTCGTGCGTTTATTGTACATTGTGAATTGTTACGTATCGTTAATTGTCGTTAAGTCGCTTTTATTGTCAAACGAGACCGATGAACGTTGGCAGTAGATGCATATATTTGTAAATAAAACCAATCCGCGGAAAATCATTGATCAGCGTGTTCCGCGGCAAACTCGTTCTTGTATGCGATTCTTGCTTATTGCATTTCAAATAAGACTATGAAGCTACATGATACGCGTTACAATCCCAGCGAATTTAATGTTCAGCCAAATGTCTAAAGTTCAAAGTTACTTCAGATATGACTCAGGCAGTCGTGCCGATCGTTATGTATTTTTTGAGAGATAGCTCTATGAGTGATAATGAACCGATAGAGCGAACTGTAATTAAACATTTAAATGACTTACAAGGAATTCCCATTGTTGCTTGTTAAGCTTAAGTAATAGTTCCAAACGAAATGATTCAGCGAAAACAGACCGTTTAAAAAAAACGTCCAAATACCAATTTCTATAATTAATCGATATGTACGCGTATATGTATGCAAGTATTTTATACATAGTTCCCTTCGATAATATACTATGACTAATAAGAGATGTTATATATATACAAATAAATTTATTTTCGATCTATGCAAAATTCAAAGAGGATCACGGAGGAAACTAATATACATAGAACAAATTAATATATAAACGACCATGAATTACGATTGCGTTCGTCTCGTTTTATTATTTTAGACCTTAATCAATTAATTAATAATCGTATCAAACAATTAATCGTTCAATTAATCGTTACATTATCGTTATATAATTGAAAAATAAAAATAAAATCAAGACAACCACAATAATTATAGCAAAAGTTGATGGTGATGACGATGGTGGTGGTAATAATAGTAGTAGTAGTCTAGTAGAGTAGTAGTAATAGTAGTAGTGGTAATAATAGTAGTTTAGTAGTAGTAGAAGTAGTAGTGTTAGCAGTACAGCAGTAGGAGTAGTAATAGTAGTAGTAGTAGTAGTAGTAGTAGTAGTAGTTAGTAGTAGTAGTAGTGGTGTAGCAGTAGCGGTATTAATGGCAAAGATAAAAAACTAATAATATAAATTAATAAAAATAACATGAACGGTAATCGGTTCTGGCAATATAGTTAAATGTACAACAATTGGAAATGAATAA